GTAATCTCAGTTACAAAACTTCAACATAATAAGCAACCCTTATTTTGTATGTATATCAGTGTATATTTATTTATTTATTCGTACATTTCACCCTATAACGCTGGTTGGTCTGGCAACGGCAATTATTTTTTCATTCAATTTTTTTAATAATAAATATAATATAATAAACATCTCGAGCACATAGTTAACGGTGTACAAAGTACACCACGGATGTGATTGGAGGACCCTCGGCTTGCTTGTATATATACCTCTCTCAATCTTATGCCGACCCGCACGCGTTGTTTTGCATTTTAATAATAATAACATCTAACATAATGGCGGACGTACTCGAAAAGGTCTTATCATATCATTCGGGTGGTTGTTCGTGTTGTAATAATTGAATCTCTAGAAAATTCCAATTGCCCTTATAGCGGGTTAGGGGAGGGCATTTTTTTTTTTTATTACTTTCAAGTATAGATGATAACGCGCGTGCACGTGCCGACTTATACGGTCCAAATGAGTCCAAACGATCAGGAAACGCCATTTTTTGTGCTACTACAATGCTTATACATATTGTCTAGTAGGTACATCAGCTTTATAATACTCAATTATAACGATATGGGATTTGAATACATTCGGATAGTGTGAGGGGGGAGGGGGGTTTGTCGACTATGTCCTTTCTCTATTCCTGTATACATCTTATGCGACTGTTCAAAGACAAATCGTGATCAGCGCCGACCCGGTACAACCGGAAGGACGAAACGCCGCATTAGCATACTATTATCATTATTATTATTATTATTATTATTATTATTTTCACGTGTATAATATTTTATATACGCACACACAAATGACCGTGTTTTGCAGTCGAGGGGGGAGGGGTAGTCGGCCTCCGTACAATATAATGCGGAAACGGACGTGTATATATATAGTCGCCGAAGAGGATGTTTAAGGGTGGAGGGGGGGGAAGTTTAAATCGGAACTATATATATATATAAATTATTATTATAGAGAAATCGAAATGATGCAAGATGGACGGCGGTCCGCTGTGTATATGGCGTGCGGTCGCCGAGGGGGGTGAGAAGGTTTGGAAAGGGGTACGAGGGCGCATATTGACCTGTCAACGGGGACCGGATGGAATTAATGCCGAACCCTTTTCCACGTGTACAACGGTCGCCATCATGTGCATATTAAGCGGGGGCCTAATCCCTTCGGTCGTGTATATATAGAGATATAGCAGTATGTATACAGTGTGTACGGCAGCACCGGAAAAAGGGCACGGGTCGGCGGCGACGGTGGAGCTGTATATTAATGCGCATTACGCCGGCTATACGCGGTTTTATAATGAACACAGTATATTATACGCATGTACATATATATATATATATATATAATATGTACGGTATGATGATGACGGTCAACTCGGATGTACAAGTTAATTTTGGCGCAGAAACTAGGGCTAGTTATATGTACCCCTATATAGTGCAAAAGAATACCACAGTCAGGCCTAAAGCGTGAAGGAAGGTTAGGTTAACACTATTGCATCGCTGCAATGACATTGGACTAATCTGAAATGTTACAGATAAATGTGTTGTGTGTGTGAAAACAATAATAATATGTTATTACTTTATATTATGAACTTGTAGTTTATAATATGACTCGGTTTCGCAACTTGTAACCGGTTATCGATTAAATTTAGTAACTAGCCATTTGTTTGCAACCAACTCGGATATATTATTATTATTATTAATATAGGATGTATATGAGAATCACATACTGCATACATTTACATCGTTCTATCAATTATATATACTATAATATTGGATATACGAAACTAATGAAAAGGGGTGTGCATCGTGTGTCCACCGCGTGCTTATAATGTAATATCCAAAAATGTAGAGTGGAGGGGGGGAGTGGATTTTCGGCGACGGGTTTTTCGGTCGAGGCTCCCAGAGATAATGATCTCGACCGCGGGCCAAAGAAAAATATATTACATTATTATTATTTATACGGAATTGGTTGTGCAGGTGTTTCATCGTGTGTATAGATAGATAGGTTTTTTTTTTTCTACTCTCTCTCTCTCTGTCTTTTATTTTTTCCCGGGAGTCATATTATACGAGCGCCGCCTCTTTGGCAGAGAGACCTGCACAGTACCTACCTATATAGCATACATATATAATATAATCGAGCCTAGTGACAGACCCTGTAATCAGTGCCGAGATGACAGTCACGTACCTTTTATGTGTGCTACAGCGGCGGCGGTCGCGCATCTCATCTCCATAATAACACAGCCACTATCCGATCGATGTCCTCGCGAGCATATTACATATTATTACTATTATATATCTATATATATATATTTATAGAGGTAAGTACCGACGGGCTAATAACACGTGAGTGCGCCTCGGCCGAACCGGTCCGTATAAAAACCGCCCACAGGCCTACCGGTGTACCTAATCACAATGTGATGCCGGTCCACTCAAAATTGTTACTGTCATTGGCATACCCACGTACGCACACGATGTCATAATGTCAATTTCGTACACACACACACACACACACACACCCATCGTACCTATATACCTAACCTATTATACTTAAGGTATAAGAAGGTAAATCGAAAATAAAAAAAAAATTATATTACTCACGCGGTAACCGCATAATTGGGAATCGAAATCGTGTGTTGAACATATATATATATATATATATAAACCGAACACACGGATAATAATTGCCCGAGTCGCTTTTTTTATAGATATACATATAGGATACGACAAGGGTCCCCCTACACCACCGGTCTCGATATAGCGCCACGTTATAAGATAATATAACCGCAAGGACACGAAAATATAATATATATATATACCTATTATGACGAAGGACGATTGTATATGTCACGCAGAATCCAATAATAATAATAATTATAACAACATTAACCCAGACAGACCCGACGAGCATGTATACACCGGCTCGAGGAGCATAGTATAAGAATATAATATACACACAACAAGAGAAGAATAGAGGACAATATATCCTTTGACGCGAAAAAAATCCCATTACAACCATAAAAAAGAGACTCTCCGACCGTTGTGACACCGTTTCTACTAGACTACTTTATTTTGCACAAAAGAAAACCCCAGTGTGTATCAGAATAAAGGTCAAAGTGCAAAAACCTTTTTTTTTTATTTACAAAATGAAAGATCACGACTTTTACACAGCTGGAATTGTCTAAAGACAACGCAACAACGGTAAACGTGTCCTGCCAAAAGGCAAAAAGGATAATTACAAACAAATACATATATATAGGTACGTATCAATTGAAATCCTTTTAGTGACTAAGTTGGGAAGCACATTTAAGGAAATTCATATTATTATCTATGATGTACAATAGGTAAAAATCGTAGCTTGAGGCGGGTGGGGGTGGGTTGAAGGGTGGCAAAGCAGAAGAGAGAGAGAGGAGTCAACTTTGGGGCGACCGAGTTGTGTCATACTACAAGAAGTGATATAAAAATCTAATCTATTGTCAATCCAATTCAGAGTATACAGTAGTGTATTATATATATATATTATACACTCAAAACGTCGCCCTTCATTTAAATTACAAAATGTTCCGGTGCTAGGCACGAAGTTAAGTCGCGACACTGCCATGGGTTATATATGTATTACTTGTATAATAATTGAAATTGATCGAGTCGATCGGGCGCGACGCCTGTCACGGGCCATTAAAACGGTGGCGGCGGTCGCTTCTGCATGTGTGCAAGGGAAAAACAGCACTAAAGTCATCAATATCATATACAACAGCAGGGTAGGTATTATTATTATTTTTGTCGTTATTGTCCCTGGTATACTCAGGCTATGGTGTGTGGAGCAATAGAGAGAAAAGCGCCAATTGTTTTTAGCCATTCTATAATTATATTTTTACTTGGCGGGCTGCATTCAACACAAGGCAGTATTGGCAATATTGCCAACATTATCACGGTAAATCTAAGGGATGCCACACGCACAAAGCTATAATATATTATGGGTTCGCGACATTGTAATACTATGTGTGTGTGTGTGTGTGTGTGTGCGGTAGTCGTACTTGGACGTGTATACAGTTATAATATTGTGCATAGCATTATATATGTATACATATTTAAGAAAACGAGCCTCGACTGAGCTGTCAATATCGCGGCGGGCAGATGGATGGGTTGCCGTTTATTCCTTGTAGAGCGACAGTGTGTGTGTGTGTGTAATGTGTATACATATATTATATCTATCTATCTATATATATATATCGGTCTATCTTCACTTCAAATGCAAATCACAGCCCATTGATGGATGAGTGCACGCGGACCGAGCTATCCGTTTTTGTATAACGTCCTTTTATAAGGGATATATATTATATATATTATGCATGTATAATAATAAAATATTTTGTATCGAGTGACGGCCGGGGACCGGGACTTGTGCCACTAATAGATCCACATTTCAACCTGAGCCCCAATCGACCAACATACAGTAATAATTATATATTATTGTCCTGTAGATTCAATAAAACGTGATCCCTATTCACTGCAAGTGCGTTTTAATGTGTCTGCTACACTATAGTTGATTATATAGAAACACAGGAAAATCTCCCGGAATTCTGTGACGGCCTAACCCGACCGAACATAGCTCACGAAATGCGTTAATATTATTAATTGTGTAATTCGTTTATTATGCCAAAATGCGTTACAATGAGAACTGGTCTACTCCGAAAAAATATATTATAATATTAAGAAAATTGTGTATTGTGTGCAGTATTGTTATTGCAGACAAGGATTTGCGAATGGTAATTAATTACTACAAGTTGAAAATGTACACACTTGACCTAACCCAACAATTTATGCTCATATAACAACAACTCTGTTCTCTGATCTACACAACTATTAAATATTAGTGTATTAATTGGCTATTGAGCGATCTGCACACAGCTCGGATAGTCACTAGGCGTACTTAGGTACCGTATAAGACGTTGTATGTTATAAATTTATACTCACGGTACAAATGGTGGGCGGCATAGCCATTTGCGGAGGGTCCGAAGACGTCCGGGAAGGCCGGATGGGCATTGGCGGCGGTTGTGGAACTATCGGCGGCACGCTGGCTCCGGCCATCTCCGGCCGCAGAAACCACGACGCTACAGAAGCCCACTGGAATAATAAAAAAAAAAATTCAAAAAATTAGTCACAAGACATTTCATTGTGTAAATAACAGCTTCTAAAAAAATCAAACAACTATACAAGAGATATGGCAAAAGGTCGGTCGTACCGCCACCGTCGGTCGTGACCGATTATTATTAGACATATACCAATAATTATTATACCTAAGACACCATAATATATTAAACAGTGTTGACACTGTCGGACCGCTAACAAGTTTCCGGCTGTTAAAAAAACGTATACGACCGCCGTAGAGAGGACAACACAAACAGTATTATTATTTTTATGAATACCTTTATAAAATATGCGTGAAGGACGCGAGCCTCGTATACATACATGCATATTAATCGTTTTGGCTAATATATCACACTGCCGCTGCCAAAAAACTAGATGTACACAATATATAATTCTATTAGAGATTGTGTAAAGTGTGTCTCTATTAGGTCAATATAATATGATGTTTTAATAATATGTTGTACTAGACCGCTTTGAACCGGGATTTAAACGTAAACACGAATTTAACCAGTCGATATGTAACATCCTATACAGCTGTATATGCTATAGCTGTGTAATTACTACTAAAATACGAGTACACGAGCACAATATTATTACACTCTTGTGGCTAATTAGATACTATAGGAGTTGCCAAGGTGACACCGAGCTATATCTGCAGGCGTAGGTATAAAGCGTTGCGATATCTCCTCAACGTGGAATATGAGTCGCTTATAATATTTTTTTTTTTGTCATTACCTATGTACACCGAGAGTGTTGTTATGTATGTATGTATGTATGTAGGTACGGTGCTGCCTACGGTCACGACGACCGAGACTTATTATATTTCTTGTCCGCGGTCTTGGCGGTATATGCTCGATGAGACACGGCAAAACTAGTATCCTACATATAAAAATACACGTGACGTGTCCTTAAAGTCGTTTTAATAGTGTTTTTTTAATGCGCTATTAACGCGCAGTTTTGTCGATCGTCACACACACACACACACACATAGGAACATAAACTATCGAAGTGACCATAATATTATAATGATATTCAATTGGATATTATTTATTACACACGGTTATACCTATAGGGGAAGAGAGGAAAAACGCGCAAAAATAAAGTTGAATATAAAATGTCGCTTGTCTTGGGGGTTGCATTATATTAAAGGTCAAACTGTTATAATACGTCAAACGACCCTGGAAGTGTATTAAAGGTATAGCTGGCTAATAATACAGCAGTGTGTGTAGTAAACGAAATAATGACAACGATAAAAGGGGGGAAAAGCAAAAAAAAAAAAAAAAATGTAGTAATAATAAAACCGTCACGCCGGACACGCGAACTTGGCAAGAACAACCCGTTAAAACGCACGTCTTGACCGCTCCTATATAATATAATAATAGTAGATAGAGTGTACACTATATATATATATATGTATATAATATTATATAAATATAATATCTAGAAAGGAGAGACAAGGGCGGGTGTCCTTAAAATGTCAAGTCGGTGACGCGACGAGGAAGTCGGCGATGGGCGAATCGCGTGACTTGGCCGAAATATAAACTCGTATAATAATATTATATTATATACTATCTATAGTCTGTGTACAACACTAAATTGTATCCGACGCCTTTTAATTAAGTGAAATTTTAACGGTCCCGTGTATGAAATGTTACCTAATGGGTTAATTTTGATTCGAAGTCGCGGGCTCTACTTATATTGTATACATTTTCTTTAATCAATTATTCAGTTGCCTTCTACTTTTCAGAGCGCTAAATTTTGTTTTCTCTGCCTTGAAGATTACTATACCGTTAAAGCACTCTATAACAATATGTTTGCCGTCGATATACAAAGTAAAGTATATAATGTTGGCGTCGGTTCAAAACAATAACAATAATTTAAACACAACAGCTATATACGACGCGTTTCGGAGCTTCTGTTGCGCAGCAGCGTCGACTATTTGATTTCTTTTCAGTCTCTCTCACCCACAGCTCGCTAGTCTATTTATATATATATATATATATATACATACATTTTTGATCTCATCTCACATCGGTATATCGGAAATTGCGGTTTTACGACATCCATAAAGTTCGCCATGGCACATGGCGCGTTTCTTTGCAGAGCACCAGTACTATCCGCAGAGGAGGAAGCTGAAGAGTTTTTTTTTTTTCAAAAATCTACGATTACACACACACCGAACGATCGGCTTAAATAATACATATAGAAACACACAAACACTTACCGCTGAGGTCATCCATCCGTGTACTATAATAATAATAATAATAATAATACACGAAGGGGCATTTTACACACACACACACATGCGCTCGTCCAAGTTCATCTGGCTAAAAGCTTCCTGATGGCAACGACCATAAGGCACATGTATGTATATATATATATATATATATATACAATAATAATATAACACTACACACAAGCCGTCAATATCTGCTGACGTGACAGCCGGGCAAAAGCCGTCGTGGTACCGCGTCGAATTAATGAGCGAGAAAACAACCAAAACGACCCAAGACGACGCCACCTCCCCTCGGTCTTTGCCTATAATAATAATGTATGTGTGTGTGTGTGTTGTGTACTTATAATCGTCATATTATATGGCCACCGCACGTAAAACCGATTTACGACCCGCGTCGTAGATCATGTTAGATCATGCGGACCGACGACCATTTGCTTGATTGTGCCAAACCAATACCGAACACGGTGATGAGTGTGAAACTATAATATATATATATATATAGTGTTATGATTGTTAATATTTTTTGCCCTATGTACAACATAAAAACCGCTATGCGACCGAAGCGCTGGTCCCACGGTAACAGCTCAACACCATTCACAACAACAATTATCAACACTTCAATACACACGTCATAGCTCTAGTTAGATAGTTAAAGTCGTTCAGTCTTATAGCGACATCATAAGACTTATACGATTTAGCGATAACCTATAGGCTATATCCTGACCTAATGTGTAACCTAACCGTCTTGGGTCCTCAAGATCTGTCCAATACCTATTGAGAGCTTGTATCTTGTCTAACCGAGTTACAAAACGATTATTGTACCACTTCTATATGGTCCACGCAATAATATACACCTAAAAACGGAGAGTTCTGCGTGTCTTATCATAATATTATGTATATTAATAATAATATGTGCGTTATTACTTATTATATATCTGCGGTCGGCCGCTGTGTATGCTTGAAGATGAAACCGACCGTCTGACGTACGCCCGTCCTTGTTGTTTTTTTTTTATTCACGACTAAAAAATAATGATAACGAGCCGTAAAATTAATTAAAAGTTATAATAATTCCGATATGTATTTTATTACACCGACCGATTCGAAAAATCAAGTCCCACGGACGTACCTGAGCAGTATAATAATAATAATAATGATAATTTATTAACGTCCCCGAGGCGAAGTGAGTGCATAAGCGTATAGCATGTAGGAACGAGCCAATAACGAAAACGACATTAACAGTGTACAAAGCAGTAAAACCATCTATAGACGTTCCACGCACAAGCGTTGTAGGTATTATATGTGACCGAATAGGCTTAAGGTGACAAATCTCGTTGACGTTCTATAATAATAATAATAATAAACACCATCGAGGCGACCAAAGTCGTAAACAAGTTTAGTTTTTTCACAATACTGGAAACATTATTATTATTAGATACTATTAAAATATTATTATACCTACTGGACCCGTTGTGGTTCCCAGGCGCTTTTAGATTGAAAATTCAAGGCTACTGTCCCATTAAGGTGTATTGTAATAAAACTTAACCGAAATAATAATATAAGCTAACGCGGCCTACAAACACTGTCAACCGTGCTTTTCGTCGACCTAGCAATAAGCACAAAACAATGTACAAATTATATTAAATGATATATATATTATCATATGTCGCTATTGAGAGTTATAAACTACACTGTGACAGGAGTCCGGTTGGTATGTTATACTTAAACACGGAGTACCTTTTTCGGCTTTGGCATACACATACATTGTAGTGCGTTTATATTATATTTATGGGCAATCATATCCTAGCAATGATGTTATAATTAAAATACAGTATACAGTTCCACGATTTGACACTAAAAATACCAAACGAAATTGTCAACCTCGATTAGCTCATCTTTTTTGAATCAATGCCAGATAGAGCTAAGATACTATATTATATCCGAGTACATCATAGATAAAAATAATGTGTACGTTTATAGGTATATCTAATAAGTAATAAGCATACAACCGACTATGATAATACTGTGTGATAATTAATAAATATTTTTCTACATGCTATGACCGCTAACCCTTGATTGGTCCTTGAACGGAATCGTTTATTTATTGGGCATAAGCCATGAAAAACTGGTCCAAAATGATTCTGGTACATTTGAGTTGGTAAAAAAAAAAGAAAAGCATAATATATTGAATATTATAATCTATTCCAATGCCACGCCGGTCGTCGATGCGGTATTTATTGTCTTCGGACGGGCGCGTTAATCTATTATTAAGATCAATAAAATGCTGACCGACGGTAATGGGCGATACACATACATACAAGTAAATAGTATACATATGCTGTACACAATATTATAATACACAACGATATGTGTAGGTTAGGCGTACGACCGCGGCTGTCGTTTAAGGTCGACCGTACCCCGGAGGGCCGTGTCTCCTACTTAAGTCGTCTTGTGTCAAATATTGGCCGTGCGATTTTTTTAAAAACTATTTTACACTCGTTATATACGATTATTATTATTATTATAATATGTTCTACGGGTTTAGAGAGAGAGAGAGAGACGCATAAAATGTATAAATTACCCAGTCGAGACTCACGCGGTCGACGATCAGTGACAACCGGTTCCTCGCTTTATATATATATATATATATATACATGTATATTATGTATTATAGGTAAGAAACGGCGGAAGACAGCTCCGCCAAAGATAGAGAGACCTCGGGGGGGTTCGGACGTCCGAGTATAAAAAAATATAATATAAAATCGTTTGACGTTCTAATATAATGACCAAACGGCAAACGTCAACCGCCATTTTGGCCAAACGCGCGTCTTACAAAAAATATAATATAATAATTATTATACATTACACATTATTGTAGATGACTTGCCCGAACAAGTTTTACTCAGCTGTGACGCAGCGCCGCATAAACTTCTTTTTATACTTCTCATTCCTTTGGAAAAATGTACAGAGTTAGGTGCACACAGCGGTGCTGGAGGGCGGGCTGTTATAGCTGTTACCTAGGAGACTAATTAACGGTATCGTTTTACTTATTATATGCATGTATATATATATATATAAATATATACTTTCCGCCCATGAATATTTATTAACGAGCAAGGGCTGCGTCTTGGAAAGGGTTGCACGGTGGCGGACGAAGACGAGCAAAGGGGGCCCTCAATTATCAGTGGAAAGACCTCAGCCGTCTTAACCCTATCCCGTACCTACCCTCGACCCTTTGAGAGGGTTTTCCCTTTATATATACAGCTATAGCAGAGTAATCGATACTTTCCCCGAGACTTTGCCCCGCGAGATGACTATATAATATTTACACGTATATAATATAAGTGCCTGCTGTATACATACATAAGTAGTTGGAAAATAATATAGATATGCCTACCGAACTCGAGCGCTCCACAGAGGCGGGGGAGATGCTGTAAATGAAAAGAAAGAATGAAATAATGAATGGAAAAATAAAAAATGGTGGGCGTCGCTTATATATGGAGTGAAAATCTTGCACCCCTTTCGCTTAGGCACCGGGGCAGCTGCGACGAACGGTCCCAAGCCTTTTATTTATTTATTATTATTTTTTTCATTCCAAGCGCTTCATGCGTGAAATTCTTGAAAATGCTAATATATATATATATATATCGGAAAATGCTGCGTCGAACGGTTGGGTCCGGACGAACAATAATAATAAAAAAAAAAAGATCACCCCGGTCCTTTTAACCCCTTTTTCGAAAAACCAACAATACATATAGACGAGAAGCTGAACCCCGCTGACCGGGGGGCGGGCATCGTCGCTTGGGTTCCATATAATTGGCCGAAAATCACGGTACCCCCTTCCCTCTTTAGGGGAAAAAAACAACGACTGCGACAAATAAACAATGAACGCGAAAAGCCGACCGGCAAGTTTGAAGTTTCAAGTTTGCAGAAATCTCGTTTTAATTGTCCCGGTTCGCTTGCAGACACACACACAGCTTAACCGTATTATATATATATATATATAGTGTACATTTTGCTCTCTCTCTATGTATGTATGAATTATGCATACTTGTTAAAATACACAACGCACTTGTGATTTCAATAAATGAATCCGTTTGCAACCGCCAAATCCAACGATGGATTAATCCGACAATCAAACAACGCACAGCAAGCATATAGTCGCCTTTTGCACGTGGCAGGGATATTTACATAAAAATAAATATATATATATATATATATTATAATGAATAGGGAAACGGTCGTTATTTAGTTCCCCCCCCCCTCTTTATTATATACCTAGCGAGATCTCAATAGTCTAATATACGAGGACTTATCCCGCTCATTGTCCTGACATGTGTGGTCTCCGCAGTTATATGCACTTCTTTCATCAAAGTTCCAAGTTCAGGGTGTAAAGTTACACATGTCAAAGTCTTTCGACTAAGTTGCAATGTTTGCAATTTGTAACCAGTTATTAACAAGTATTTTTTTAACGTGTAACTTATCGTACGGATGATATGAGTTCCATTTTTGTACATAAACCTGCATTTGTAACTAGTTTTAAGAGCAACTTATGTACTACCTTGTAACCCGTTACGGTAAACCGAAACTTGCCCGAGTTGTAGTTGAGTACTACATAGATTTTGCAAGTTTCAACCACCGATTATAATTGTATAAATGATTAAAAATGCCAATAATTGTGCGTTGTAATTACATACAAGTAGGCATATATAAAGAACCACGTCTCGGTATTTTACAACAATACCATTGTGTCGCTCAGAAAATTAACTGTCAGCACGATTTGTGATAATTGTTGTTGTTGTGGTCGGTTTGACAATGTAATTTGCCATATTTAAACACTTTGGGCGAGAAGGCGTTTACGTTCACGAGCACGAATATTAATTTGTACATTATGTGATAATAGCCAATGAGAACAAAATTTAACGGAACGCGTTTTTCAAATTTTAAGTCGAAAAATGACCTTGGTCACGGCCGTATGTTTTTCGGTGAAAAAAAAAATACATTATATTATATTTCAATCATCATTATTGCAGATATGGAAACGCGGTCCAAGGTCGATCGAGTGACCAAATAGAGCGGTTCGACAGTTTTGTCAAAGACCGGAAAAAAAATCAAATACAACATTAAAAAAATGTTAAACTGTCAAACGTTTTAACGCTTTAATCTGCGTTGACCTCAACTCCCGTGTCCAAATATATTATCATGTTTATATAATATGCATACCTACGTTCTGTTCTTATACAAAACATATTTGCATACACCCAGACAGACCTATAGTAGAGCTGTTATTATTACTAATATTCGTGGAATCGTCAAAAGGACTTGGTAAACAGTAATTTCACTGGGTATTATTATTATTTTTTTTTTGCCTAATCAGTTAGTGTTACCGTCGCCCCACCCCTCCCTTCTATCACTCGTCTGTTGAAAGCGTTAACGGACAATTATTAATAAGCAGTATAGTACTATACCTATATTCCTATTATTATTATTATTATCAATGGTGGATGGCCCGTGATCGGACTGCGCGATAATTACCGGCGATATCGTTTTCGTTTTCGTGGGCTCCTGCCTATACCCTTTTGTATACAAACCGGCGGATGTATATCATAGTGTACACATAGGTATAGGAAACCGAAAATAGGGATGAAATTCGTATTAATGGACTCTATCCGGCCGGGGGGGGTAGATATGTACACGCGGGAACGGTGCCCAGGTCGTCCGGTGACGGGGGCGTCAACTGGCGATCGATGCGCCTCTCCTGTATTATATTCGGCCAAGTATACTTAATACATATATATATATATAAATATTATATACCCATATATACCGTGTGGTAAATGGTAATGGGCGCCGGTCACGACACGGTCGCGGTCTGCCCGGTCTGTGCACGACAACGTCCACCAAACTCAAATATATATATATATATATATATATATGGATATAAATACATATAGTAATATATAGGTTCTTAAGTTGAAAGAAAAACGCACCGCCAGCGTCAAATAGTGTCGTCGGGTCACGAATATATATTATTATACAGCCCCTCCCCCCCATCCGTCGTCCCCTTTTATTTCTCTCATCCGAAAACACATATTTTTTGTATCGTTAAAGTCTCCTATCCACCGATAAAAGTGTATTATATGTAGGTAATATTATTATTATAACTTAACCGTACCTAGGCGTACGGACACTAGCCACAAGCCACAAAATAACATATATATATATAGGTACTATACACGGTGAACCCCAATGGCAGACAATTCAAATGCATATATATATATATATAGATGAGATAGGACATTGATGGCATCGGTTATTATTATATTATTATTAGGAGGGAACAGTACACGAAAACCGGTCGCCCGTCCTCCGTGTCACGTTTTTTTTCATTATATATATATGTATACTTACAAATTAAACGTTTCCCATTTACTATATTATAAAGTTTTTTAGCCGCCGTCGTATGATAATAATAATTATACACACACGGTCGGTTATTTGGTACAGTGGGGAGGGCGGTATCTCCAAAAGGGTATGCCCGTGTAAATGGTTTTTGTTTAACCCGGATAAAATCGTCGAAATTACATCTCTGCATACCTATATACCTACTATACATAAGTGTAACAATGTAATGTCTTGCCTTGTACATCTTATATAGTATTATGTCGGACGGCAGCAATCGAGACAGTTGGACAAAAAAAAAAAAAAACAAAAGATACTGCGTGCACACGCACACGAGCAACAACCGTGTAATTTCGCCACCTCCCACTGTATAATCAAATCAATGTCATTAAAAAAAAAAAAAACTGCTCTCGGGGTGGTTGTACACACATGTTTTTTGGAAAACCTAAAATTACCTACACCCAAATGTCCAGGGGTAATAATCGTCCGCTTAAAACGTTTTTGTCCGGCTCCGGCGTCGTCACACCCAAGGCCCATGTATAATATTATATACACAATGGGATGCTGTAGTCGCTTATATTATATAGTTTACACTTACCCGGGTCAGACCTCGGGGGCACTCACCGATTTACTTGTATATATACCTATGTCAGGTCACGTGTACAAAGCTTAAATGTATTACAAAACAAAAGTTTTGGCTGCCTGTGGCCAATTCGTACATAAGTCTTATATTATACTTGGCTCTTGTCTTAATAGTCTATAATACCTAACCCTGCGTGTATGCTGTATACCTGTAGACTTGTTTATTTTGTGTCTTTATAAAGTGTACTCGATGAATGAGCATCTTAATAATATGTCATTGGCCAAGTTTGACAAGGGGGGGGGCGAGGGGGGCACCGATACACGGTCTAGCTTATACATATATTACACATATAATATCTTACCACCTCCATCATGAGTCCGGCACTGGCAGCGCTCGGCGATTGGTCTTCTGGACGGCGCATGCGTAGAGGTGCGCCGATCACTCTGCCATTACCTGTGGAAAAACATTGGGAAAAAAAACAAATTAATATATATAAAAATATACAATATTTAAATACACACACAGGCATGCTGTCGACCGGCTCCTCTAGTTACTTATCTCTTACACACACGTACACAGTGCATGAGAGAGATAACTTCTTTGTTTGACCGTTTGATTATCGTTTTAGGGTGGGTTTTTCTATAAATTTTAAAATATCGCCAACAACTAGAGTAGAGGTGGAGAATTCAAGGTGTTTTGGAATAATATTATTATTGTTTAGCACTGGTCGAAGACGAGCAGTGTCAACGGCATTTTAGACAATTTCCAGTCATTAAAATTTGTATAACATGCAATAAATAGATGAAACGCGCCCTTCGCTCTTAATTTTGACGAAGCAGCTGTCTTCCTTTGTGTAAACAACATGAGCCATTGTGTTATGCGCGTGTGTGTACCTACCCCTACCCCTACCCCTGCGCGTTTATTATACAATATTATATTATATACTCTCTTATGTACCCCCCCGAAAAACTAATAATAATAATGATAATAACAACAATTCCTCTCTATCAAAACAAGTTCCGAAGGACGAGTCGCCGCCGCGCGTTGTACTTATATAAGTAACAAATTTTTTTTATTATTATTATTTTATTGGTTAAGTCGTGTTTAACCATCTAATAAACAGCCAAGTTTTTATTAACAAAAAAAAAAAATGTTATTAACGAAGAGGGCGAACAAAGTCCGTTAAAAAAAAATATAACCATCCTACTATACCGATAAAGATTTTTTTAGTTTTCTGTTTCGTTTTATTTTGCACGTTTACAGCTGTTATTAAGTCTTGCTCTATTTTGAAATTAAGACTGCATTTGATGCTTTTTGATACAAACTACGGGTATGAATCAGCTTTAACGCCAAACAAGAAAAAGCCTTATAATTCAGTCACTAATTGAACGTTTGACTTAAGTAATAGGTACACCGTTTTGATTGTTTAGTAATAATGACATTTCTTAACGTTAATATATCAAGTATTGTCCTAGTACAGATTTTTTTTTTTAAAGGCTACAAACTAAAACCGAAATCAAATCAAAAATAGTTTCTAATCTAAGTATATTACAGACTGGAGACCGCCGCACATTTTTCGCACGAACCGGTTATGGTATTATGATAAAGTTGACAATATTACGTATATTGTATGAGAAGATTTTTGGAAAAACATTTTTCTATTAATTTTTCGGTATATACTGCGACGGCGGCGGTGTGAAAAATCTATACTTACCGTTGTGGTGGCGTAGCAGTTGGTCCATGAGGCAGGTGGTGGCGCGTTGGGCCGTGCGCCCCCCTTGCGGCCGGTTCGACGGCTGTGTCTAGGGGGGAGCGGGTGGCCGCCGGGAGGAGCGACGCGCGTTGTCCGGCAAAGTGGGTCAATCGATCGAACGCGCCACCGGGCGTCCCGCCGCGCAATACGTCGACGGACGTCCGCCCGCCGAGAGGATTCTATAAAAGGGGGGGGGGGATGGGGACCGGGACGCGCGCGATTCGGCGATTCGACGGCGGCGCTCCGGCACACGAGCGTTACGCGACAAGACGGTTGCCCAAGTGTCGCGCGCTGGATACTGTCCGCGCCCAGGTGTGTCTCCGGCACACAACGGGGACGACGACGGCGGCGTCGTCGCCTGGTGGTCATGCGCGCCACCGTTCGTCCGCCCGGAACCGCCGTCCACCGCCGCCGGCCCGCCAACGCCGCCGCGACAACGACATCGACGACGGCCGCATCCTGTTGGCGACACCGTCGGCGGCAAACCGGACGCCCGTATACGGCCGACGGGGGGGAGCAGCCGGCCTCCCGAGCTCCGCCCATTGTGACAACCGCGACCGCGGCTGCGACACACATTGCGCGCGACAACGCAATCCGTTTCACCCACCGCCCCCCGACGAGTGGTTTTTTTTATTCATATATATGCGCGTAGATAATCTCCTGCGCCAGAAATGTATTCGCCGTGCGACATCCGCCATTTTCTTTTATTCCACGGTACTCGCAGCGTATACGCGGTATAAGACATATAACATAATATTTTTTTATTCCCATACAACGTCTTATATTATTGCAACAGAGTGATGTCCTACGACTGACAATGTATAATATTGTTCACACACCGTCTTAAAATAAATATTCGGCTCGGTACAGTTTTAGCGCAAAAAGTTAATTATAAATTACTGTTTTTTTATTTATAGGTATAACCTTGTTTAAAACGGTAGAAACAACATTTGTATTGTTTTGTTTAAAACTCATTAACCTTAGGTACAAGGTATAATAAAAACAACAATATATATATAGATATTGTCAAGCGACTTTTGTTTTTTTTTTTATGGAAACGATGAAACGCGTTAAAAATTAATAAAAATGAAACTCCTAATACATCTGACGTGGTGCTCCAGTTCTATATGCCTACTTAAAAACCTAATAATATTATTATAACAGCTCAGTGTTTGATGTTTCCCTTATCAGCATAATATTTTATTTATGAGTACAAGATTAATGTAATTTGTGTTAAGGTTATTAGCACTTTGTATGCAAAACTGGGCGAAGTTACTTGAAACACAAACAAAAGATAAATTGGCGTAAATATAATTATTATAAGAAGACTCGCACACCAAACCTTTCCATAATAATAATAATATGTAAGTTACTATACAATTTTGTTGATTGGGGGAACATTTCATTGAAGTAGGCATAGGCACAATTTCAGTTTTTAACTCGGGAGGGCTGGAAATTTTTTTTAAATATATATATATAAGTAAATATATTTTTGTATTTTAAAATTGTACGCATAACCTAATTTTTTTGGAGGGGCTAAGCCCACCCTAGTCCCCCCGTATTTGCGCCTATGGAAGTAGGCTTTCCGTAGGGCTTTCAACAACCCTTTGTCTACAATTTACTCATCCAAAATCTTCCGTTTGGCCAATTGAGCAAACAAAACTCCCACTCTGTTGCGCGTGTAACAGTCGAGGCAAAACGAAACCATTACTGTGGCAACGATCGGCGAACCGTAATGGAAACGATTCCAAAACTTGTTATTTTTCAAATAAATTTTCCTATATCTATCAACGCTGTTGTCTTGCAAGTAGTTCTCGAATAGTTCTGCGGCTATTTCAAATAATTTTGGTTCCGGGTCGCTTATACAGGAATCGGTGAACAAATCGGTCTCCGGCCAGTAGTCCGGTTCGTGAAGAGTTATCCGACATATCAATAATTGTTTTAATAGGTTTACAAGGAAAAAATGTTTAACAAGAGGTAAAATTATGAACAATAAATATACATGGAACAAATTGAGTTGTTAGACTGTGTTTGTTTGAGTGGCTAGACTCGTGCCGAACGTTGGCGGCTCAGGACAGCGTAAGTTGGACTAGGAGAGGCTGATTCCAGACGTGCAAGTTTGGTATAAAAGAAAATTTTAAGGATACTGTTGATTTGTGTTTGTATACTGTTCGTTGTTATAGACTTTACCAACAAGGTGTTAGTTATATTACCTATAGGCTATATAGGTAAACATAACAATTATCCAAAAAAAAAACAAATGTTAGTATGCAAGTAGCAAGTAGCTGGTACATATTATGAATAGGGCAAAGAAGCAAAAACTACATCTTATATTATTATGTAATAAATGATTAGCTAAAATCAGATTTTGTTTTATTGTCGGCCAGTCCTCCGTTTGCCTAAGTGTAACAGACCTAACCTACGTTAAAATATACTTGAACTGTATTTCTACCGGATATGATTTTATTTTTACACATTTCAAAGTCAAGTAATATTATTATAATAATGATATATACTTATATACCTATTAAAACTGGTCGATATTTATATATAAATACATTTTTTCTTTATCTTCCGAATATTATTATTACATTAAACGTGGAAAATGTTTTTAATTCGAACAATATTTAAATAATTATATTATATTTTTTCGTTTTTCATAAGAAATATTTACCCTTTAATGTGAATGTTGTGTTTAACATATAGACCGAAGTGATTTATAAATATTGAATAGGTATATATTTGACACAATAGAAAAAAAAATGTTATTGTTTGTCGGCGTATCTGATGAATGACAATGCGAATTTTTCACAATAACCGTTTGCCCTGGTACTAGTGCGGTTAATTGTTTTTTAAACACTTGCAATATAACTACTGAATATAATTATTATTATATAGAAACAAAAAAAAAATAATGTATGAAAGTGCATTTTTTTCTCTATAATAAAGTTTACATTATTAAAATATGTCGATAAACTGTTGTTGTAATAAATCATATTAAGATTATATGATGTAGGTATAGGATAATGTTCAAGCTCGAAAAGTAGATATAATAATATCAATATGACTGAAAAATATTGATTTGTAACAACTGTTGCTCGGACGACATTATAATGAAAAGGTACAATAAACTTTAACAATAATATATTATAACAGCTGTACCTTATTTGTAAAAAAATAACAATTCTTTAGGACTTAAAAAGTTATTTCAATTTGGTAAAATATATTATTCCCGCGACAGTTTCTTAAGCTTTTTTCAAAAACGGTTTAATTTAAGATTGAAATTAGATAATTTAGTTTTTGCAAAAATATAATTTTATTAAATTCAAAAATTTTAAACGCAAAAATCGCATTGAAAAAATATTATCGTTTCATTATTTGTTGACATTTTTGGATAACTTAATATTTTTTTTTGTATGTCCTACTAAGCTGGTAAAAATTTGTGTTTTTTTTTAAACGTATTGCGTATACCGGTCAAAACCGTTTAATTTTTTTATCTTATATAAATATTCGTACTTATACTTGAAACAAATCTGAGAGGGCGTGTAATAATTTATAAGCCGGTTTGATTATTGTTTTGATTTTATTTAAAACAGTAACAGTTTTTTTTAGATTATTTTACAAATTTTGGAATCATTTATTTTTTTTTTTTTAAACTCAAAGACAGCCAACAATTTTTTGTGTTATCTGTTTGGACGATTTTTTTCGTTTTGATTTATTTGTCTATCAAGCACTATGCCTACGCCTATACAATATATTAAAAGTAAGCTATGTAACGCCTAAGTCAGTACTGACCAGTGTTGAATATCGATTCGGTGGTCCGATGAATGTCGGCTGGAGAGATTCCCGCGGCGGCTCCGTGTATAACCATCAAATTGGATCACTCACTCGCAATGTATATAAATCAATAACTCCTATATAATATTATTAGAACAATACATAGGTATGTTAAAAAAAAAAACGACGGATTTTTTTCTTTTGTCACACGACCGGTCAACGCGATATTAGAAAACTTGTATTTAATATGAATATAATATTTTAATAACGTCGGTTTTTTTTTTTTTTTTGTGTAGCAAAATGTCACATGAGTAATATTAATATAAACGCACTACAAACACTCGATTCGAATATTATACCTAATTAATATTATATTTGAATGCGTTCAAGACGGATTTGTATTTTTAATGTCTTCGAAGACACGCAACACACACACACACACACACACTCGCGAGAAGACGTTTTAACGAGAAATATATATATATATATATATATGGTTTTTGTCCGTCTAATTAAAAACACTGTTAAAAAAAAATTCCAATGAAAAACGCACAAAAAAAACGGTCGAAGGGGGTTTTTTTTTTTGTGTCGTTGTCGTTTTTATTTTTTGGGGACGCGCGGCCGGACAACAACAACACCACAACAGACGGCGGACCGCGTACTGAGACAGTGTGTGACTGCGCGCGGCTGGCGGCGGGCTGACACACGGTGGGCCGACGCGGCGACGGTCCGTTTGTGTCGTGGCACCGTGTCGCGCCGCTTTGTGTGTCCCCACGCCAAAGCCGCGTCGGCCAATGTCATTTGTCGCTGTGCGCCGACGGGGCGGGGCCTCGGACAATATGTCACCGGAACGCGACGCCCAGGTCCTACCGTCCGTCCGTCCTGTCGTCCCGCCGTCCCGCCGCGCCGTCGCTCGTCCAACAACATAATAATTAATTATCAAACGTGAATATTAAAATATATTCCGTCTTGACGTTGCGAATATCGTTATTGTTATGATAAAAAAAAAATTTTTTTTTTTAATTCTTCGCTACTTATGCGGTGAAATCCCGTTGGAAATGTACACTTAAAACGACTTGGCCATATTAATTAATAATTATACACCCACTCGACTGTAATAATTTTAATTTGTAATTTAAAAAAAAATGTGTACTTAGAACACTGTTGTTAATATTATGGTATTATTACTTTTTTAAAGTATTTAATAACTTAAGGAATTTAATAAAATATGTTTTTTTTTCAAAAGACATTTCCAAAAATAGTTACTATCGTTTTTTTTTTACAATAATATATACATTTTACTCTTAACAAAACGTATTATTGAAAATATCTTCGAACAATTAAACATTTTATTTTAACCGTATAATTATGACACAAGAAGTAAAAAAAAAAAATCATACATATATTATACGAGTATTTTTATGTACAAACTTAGATTGAATTTTAAGAAACGGGTACAAGTTTTAGGCAATTTCAAAATCCTAGAATAGTAACTCTCCCAACACAATGTTGAATATAATTTAGCAATTTGTTAGATATTTTGTATAACCTAAATACAAAATACAATTTATTGAAAACTATTTCAAATACTTGTACACGAAGCGCACAAACACAGATTGTATTTTCATTGTGTTCTCACTGGTGACGTTTATTGGGTATTTTTTTCTTCCTGTAGATGTCTTTAAAATTTTAAGAAAAAAATTGTAATCCAGTACAAACAAAAAAAAGAGATACCTAGGTACCTATTATCACACATTTTTTTTTTTTTTGTAAACGGTCACTTATATGCACCCATTTGTTTTTCTTCACTTCATTTCAAATACAGCTGTCCATCATTGATTATACTGCACACTGTTAACACACTGTATAGCATTGTATACAGGCTGGTGTGGCAAAGGGGTGGCAAGGAGAGATGTTGGCAGCAGAACGTTGAACCCGCCGGGGTTGTCCCTCCCCTCTTAACTCTGCTTAACCGAGACCTCGAATCATTAGAGTCGTTAAGTATGGTATTGCGCTTATGTAATGCTTTATAACCTTTAGGTACACATTTGGGCTAAGGATCGATGATGGTAAAAGATGACAAAAGTTTATTTATTTTATACACAATTAAGACGATTGCTTGAATTCAAATTAAACCTATACATTTTATTATCTGTATCCGCCTATTGGGTTTAAATTGGTCGATTTACTATACATGTAAAATAATTGAGAGCTGATCGAAGATTTATTTGACCCAACAATCGTTTTGTTTATTTAAGTATTTTTATTTTTGTATGTGTTATCATTATTGTAAATTTATTGTTGTGTATCAATTTTTTAGGGTTCCACAATTGTGTGCTAAAAGATCCTACCACAATTAGCTCTAACCCAAAGTACAAAGTAAATGTGTAAAAAATAAAATAACCGTTTAAATAGCAGATTATTATTAACAACATTCTAATATACATGTTGTTAATAATAAACTGCTCTAAAAAAATTAAAGCTATATTAACTTTTTTCAATTACCATTTACCAATCATTTTTTCTAGTCAATTGTATTTTTTTTACTACATTATTTTTTTTTTGTATTTAAACATTGAAAATATTGAAAAATCATAAATAATTTAATTTTCGCCGACTTAAGTAGTACTATTTTGTTGTATAAATTACAATACCCATTTATTAATAAAACTGTCTTGTTGTCAAAAATTGATAAAGTAATTTTACTCATTTAAAAAAAAATAGTTTTTCCGGTGTAGGTACATATTTTTTATTAATGAAACCTATTTTTATCTACTTAGTATGTTTTATTATATTTTCGCTAAATTTTAAAGTGGTAAACATTTTTCGGTTTATGTTATTTCTCATTAAAAATACGGTTTAATTTACTTATAAAGTTGAAATTAATTCGACAATATCATTTTATTGCATCTATAAATGCTTTTATAGTGATACAATTATGTTTTTAACATATGTATAGGCAAATTAACTATAGTCGAATTGCGGTGAATAATCTGGTTCGCTGTATATATATATATATAATAATATTATGTAAAACGATTAAAATTTAGTAGCTTGCCTATGCGTAGGTACCTATACTAATTACTGTAGTATATTATTAGCTGTATATAATATATCTGTAAGCCGGACTGTATGAATAAACTAGGTTTAATATCCGTTTGAATATAATATATAGATTTATAATTTATTTTATATTATGTATAGCTACTTACAAAACAATAAAATTGTACTTAATACGACGTTTAGTTGTAGGTATATTGATTATATATATATATGTACCAACATATAAAATATAATTAATTAAATCAAACATATTAACGACTCGTGTACCTATATATTATTATGTGTGTTCAATATATTTATACTTATGTTGATATTGCCTGTGGGCAACTGCGGATTTTCAAGCTTGTTATACTGTACATAATATTATGTTGTATAGTTTTTTATGTTGCACCTATACTTATATATACTTTCATATATATATGTATAGACACCTACTGCAGCTCAACAGGTGCCTATGTATACTGCGCCGTGTGTATTTAATCGATCGTAATTAATACATCAACGACGGCGCATATTTTTCAATTATTCTATACGTGTACCTATTGTTTACACGAGTAAAAACGATAAAAAAATATTATTAATATAACATATATTGGTAGAAGTTTATGTATGTGTATACAGGATAATAACAATCATCACCATGTATAGTACATCACAACCTAATGTTCACATGTAATATGCAAATGTACAATATCTCAACCCCACTGCTTCTCTCTTGGAAATAAACTACTCAAGCTGACAATTTTTCGCTAACTCAACTGCATATGTTTTTATCATATTATAACGTTTACGGAGAAATTACAGAATTTAGGTAATTAAAAAAAAAAAAAAGAGACCATTAATTATTAAAAAACAATTAGCTGGAACATTTGCATTTTTGCACCAACACTAAAACGGGCGACCATTTTTTTATAATAAAAAAATCGCGGTTTTCAATGTATATAACATATTTTATGACGCGCGCCGAAATCATTATTCATTGTTTATCTTCATTTTTTTTTTTTCAGTAAAAAATATTATTTGTATAAGAAAATAATATGGGCTATTGTTCAAACGTCGTAATCTGCTCTGACATATCGAATAAGGTCATCCCTTCTTTTCAACATAGTTCATCATTGCGTCTCTCTAAATAAATATCTACTAAGACGAACAATACAATATTATTTATCACACCTATATATATATATATATAGATAGGTGGATACACATTAACACGAATGTCGACACATAGTATTATTATTATTATTATTATGTTGTGTAATACACAAATGAGATACACTCAGGTGCACCTGTCCCTATAACAATATGTAGGTGTAATATAATAATATATACACAAATTATATCAGTCTAATGTTACAATAATACACATGAAGATGTGATGTGAAACAACTATGCGGTGGAGTGTTACATTATCTATCCGTGTCTGTTACAAAACAAAAAGTCATGTGTGTATGCTGTTTGTGTCCCCCTTGTCCAACAATATACTTGACGGTTCACGCTGAGATGCAACTGTTTAAGTATAACATCCCTGGAAATGTTTGAATAATTTTCTATTCAAAGACAAGCTCAAAATATGGTCGTTGAAAATAAAAATAAGTTTTTGAGAACTGTATTACAAAACGTTGTTCAATATATCTATTTTTTTTTTTTTTTTCATTATTAGTGTTGCAATTAGCAATAATATAGGTATGTCTTTGTATATGTATATTTTTTTTATCAACGGTTTTTTTTCTTTACATAGAACAACGATAACATATCTACATAATTTATATATATATATATATATATATTTAAAACTGTATTAAAATATTATTATACAAGTGGTCCCGGACGCGTTGATGACTTTGACATTTTTATCTTTTTAACGAAAAGGTGAAATGTTACGGACGTTGGACCGTTCTGAGATCACTCACGTTTAATACAGTGTACATTTATAAATAATTGTTGTCTCATTGCCGACTTTATTGCGTTCACAACGTTTGATTTCAAGGTTTTAAATATAGGTAGTAGGTATACTTACCTGTACAGACATAAGAAAACAATATTATTTGACAGTGTTTTTTAAATTTTATTTCTCCCCACGATAAATGTTTACACTCGTAACCGTTTTATGAAACAAATATAATAATATTATTATAAAACCAAACAAGTGTCATTGTGTTTTTACAAAATTAGATTTTAGTCCAAGCTTCAATAGTTGACAATTGATAGAAGTGTTTGAGCTTTGACCATCGACTTAAAAATAGATCATTTACCAGCCATCAAAAATACCAGTTTTTATTGTTACCTTTTGTCAGTTGCACTAAATGTTTAAACAATGTAATGATGTCTAAAAGCTAAGCTTTATAATAATAGGCTTAAGACTATTAAAGGTAGGTATGTTATTTTTATTAAAAGTCCATCCCACTGCTTTGTATAAAAATTATAATTATAATTACAGTAAAAAATTAGAAAAAAAAACCATTAACCGGTTTCAATTGTTTTAGACAACTATTTTTAAAATTTTAATTTAATAATTGTATGTAGGTAAAATGTGAAACTATAAAAAATATTAAAAGCGAATTTAAAAAATAATTGACTAGCACTTTATTTTTTTAATTTTAAGCAATTTGTATTTCGCACGTTATGTGAATGTT